TCTGTCTTCTGAGACCGCAGCAACGGGTACGCTGGTTTAATATATATTTCTTCTATATAAATAATTCTCTTCATGGATACCATAGAAAACACCAAGCTGTAAGCGCCCCTAGCAGCCCCCTCTCTTTCTCTCTATCCCTACCACCCCCATCCCTACATGGTCTGGTGAGCTGTGGTTCAAGCTAAATGTTTACAATCGTAGAGCCGGGTTTAGTGACAGCTATTAGGGGCAGATAATTTAGTTTGAAACGATTTTAAACTTAGTGGAGGTAACTCAGAGGGGGCTGCTTTCACGAGGAGGGGGGGGGGTAGGATTTTTGGGAAAGGAGGGTGGGGAGGGGGGGGGGGTTATCGTCCTTAACGAGCTACTGATAGTGTTTTAAAGCAAATATTTTCAGTGGCAGCATTGTTACTGTCAAATTCACAAATTATGAGTTACTGAAAAGTAGAAAATGAAACAACTAAATAGCGGCGTATGATAGCGGCTCGTAAAATATAAAACACAATGTAAATACCTTTGTTATACCTACGGAAAATAATAATATGTAACATGGATTCCTGAAATTTTGCGCTGCTTTAATTTTTAACGTTTGGATCCTCCATCAACATCCATACTCTCCTTTAGTATGTTCAGGCTTTTTTTTTCATTTATGGGAAGGGATGATCGGAAAGTGTGACGACACATTTTTGCTTTCATCCGTTATTTCGGGCTTTAAAAGATTGCTTTTGGTATTAATTCATTTATTAACTCAATGTTTATCGAGGTCAGTACATATTATAATAAACCGGGAGTGATCTCCCCTAAACTTTCTCGAATATTCTAATACGAGAAAAATGGCCCGTTGAGGAAGGGTACAACGGGCGCTAGGCTGATAGTGCTGTCTCTTTTCTCTAAACTAAAACCAACCCACCCCCCCACACACCACCACCACCCCCACACACCACCCCCACCCCCACCCCCCCACCACCCCCACCCCCACCCCTCACCCCCACACCCCCACCCCCCACCCCCCCCCCCACCCCCAAAAAAAAAACATGTCTACCGTCCCATTCAACGAAATATAATTATATACTTTTTCCAGTGTCCGCCCCCTCCCAGAAAATTCTATTCCCGCCCCCAAAAATTTCAAGTACCCCCACCCCTCTCCGGGGAGGAAAAAGTCTGAAAGAAACACTGAAACCAACCCACCCCCCACCCCCCATCCCACCCCCCCCACACACCACCCCCCACCCCCACCCCTCCACCACCCCCACCCCCAAAAAAAACATGTCTACCATCCCATTCAACGAAATATAATTATATACTTTTTCCAGTGTCCGCCCCTCCCAGAAAATTCTACCCCCGCCCCCGAAAATTTCAAGTACCCCCCACCCCTCTCCGGGGAGGAAAAAGTCTGAAAGAAACACTGAAACCAACCCACCCCCCACACACCCCCCCCCACCCACACACACCACCCCCCACACACACTCCCCCCCCAACCCCTCCACCCCCCCCCCCCCCAAAAAAAAATCATGTCTACCGTCCCATTGCAAGAAAACCACTTTTTAGATTAGACACATTAATTAGGCGGTAATTTTATTATAGAGTATCGATGAGGAAATTTCTTTTGAGTTGGGGAGGGGGAGGGGCTCAGACGTTCTTACGCGGGGGGTGGGGCTTCGCCCCTACCCGAAGAATTGTATGCAAGAAACTCTTCACGCAAACCACTTAGATTAGACAACATTTCCTCTTTATTCAATATTTACGCCAGAATCAATGACGTCATTATATTACTGTGAGATTATTTTCTACTCTGTGCGCTAAATGTGTCGACGTCATACTTCGTTTTTCGAATTACTATGCATGTTTTTAAATTGCTTGTCTTTTCTCTAGAGCGTTCTTGTCAGACAGATAGATAGATAGATAGATAGATAGATAGATAGATAGATAGATAGATAGATAGATAGATAGATAGATAGATAGATAGATAGATAGATAGATAGATAGATAGATAGATAGATAGATAGATAGATAGATAGATAGATAGATAGATAGATAGATAGATAGATAGATAGATAGATAGATAGATAGATAGATAGATAGATAGACAGACAGCGAAACTATTATTATAGATAACACTACGGGGAATGGCAACTCGGGATATAGACATGATTTTTAATCCATTTTAAATACTTAAACTTTTTAAAATAGAATAAAACCTCGTAGAAAAAAGAATTGCACACCAAGTGAACGTCAAATAAAGATGTGCATAATAGTGCGCAACATTATTAGTACTTTATAAATTTACGTGCGTTTTTTGAGAAATCGGAAATAGCGTAAATTAGTACTTCCTGTCAACGGAAATTACTCAAAATTTGACAGAAGGTAGAGAATTAGATCTTTTACTTACATGTGAAATTTCATTTATCTATCTGCAATAGTACTCAAGTTATAGGCTTTTGAAAAATTCAAAGTAGAAAAAGTACCACTTTCGGTTATCGGAAATCACTCAAAAGTTTATACGGATCTATGATTTTGATAAAATACTTATATATGAAATTTCATCAACCTAGCTGTAACGGTACTCAAGTAATCGTGTTTACACACAGACACACACAGACACAGACATACGGACACGATTGCAAAATTATGTTTTTCCGTATCAGTGAGGTGTAAAACGTCGAGATTTGTAAAAAAATCTCGATTTTTTTTTTTGCACGATTACAAGACTTTCTCTATACTTCGTATATACGAGAAAGTAAAAATGCAGTTTCAGGGGAACGGCGGAGGGGGTTATGTGTTGAGGTGTAGTGTTTTTAAAGAGAGTGGTGGGGTGGGGGGGGGGGGGGGGAAAGCGAAGATCTGGCTTTTTGTGAAAATTTGTTACACTTAGAGAAGGGGGGTTTGGTGCAAAATCGTCTGAAGAGTGAGTCGTGGTTAATGGGTGACCACTTTATGATTGTATATTGACGTCACCATCATTTTGGGCGGTGGCTTTATGTGACGATATGTAACGAGAAAAAAGAGGGTTGAGTTAATGGCGTAGCATTTATTTTGCATTTTTTAAGGATACAAATAATAAAAACACTGCTTATTTTGTTTTACATGTGTGACGACATTGTGTTAACCAAATGTATTGAATAGTAGGACTTACAGATTATTAGTTCTCTCCCCCCCTGAAGCAATTACCCCCTGTCATTTACCCCCCGCCAAGGAGGACATCTCCCCCCCCCACACCTCTTAAGGTACAGCTGGGGTTAGGGTTATGGTTAGGGTTACGGCTAGGGTTAGGGTTTGGGTTAGCGTTAGGGCTAGGGTTAGAGTTAGCGTTCTGGCTAAGGTTAAGATTATGGTTAGGGTTACGGCTAGGGTTAGGATTAGGGTTAGCGTTAGGGCTAGGGTTAGAGTTAGGGCTAGAGTTAGAGTTTGGGCTAGGGCTAGCGTTTGTGCTAAGGTTAGGGTTATGGTTAGGGTTAGCGTTAGAGTTAGGGCTAGGGTTAGAGTTAGGGCTAGAGTTAGGGTTAGCGTTCGGGCTAAGGTTAGGGTTAGCGTTAGGGCTAAGGTTAGGGTTAGCGTTAGGGCTAAGGTTAGGGCTAGGGTTAGATTTAGAATTAGAGTTAGTGTTATGGTCAGGGTTAGGATTAAGGCTAGGATTAGGGTTAGTGTTATGGTCAAGGTTAGGCTGAAACCTAAGTCTAGAGTTGGTTTTGGTTATGTGTTAAGTTTTAGGCTGAGGTGAATGCTTAGGGTTTGGTCATTTTTTTATCGATTAGGATTAAGGAAATACATAGGTATAGAGTTTGAGTTAGGATCATAACTTGAGGCCGGGGGGGGGGGGGTGGGATTCTCCAGGGGGGTTATTGACAAGGGGTAATTGCCCGGGGGGTAAATACGGGAGGGGGGGTCTCCTCCGGGGGGGGGGGGAGGGTAATTGACGGGGTGGGGGTAATGTCATGTAGCCAGGTCCACTATTAGAAAGCCAAGATTCCAAACTGTGTAGCCTTATGTATGTAGGTAATCTAATCTCATACAAGTTCTTGAAAGCAACATCAAAGACGAGAAATAAAAAGAGCCATCGTTGTCGGCTTATTTAACAGGGAAGTCTTAGTCTAAATCAATCCACGACAATGTCTTTAAGACAATAAACCTTAACTTTGCTTGAAATAACAATATCGTTCTTCATTCAGTCAAACTCAACATTATGGCTTCACTGAACTTTGTCATTGAAATGCATGTGTAGTTTGAAATGTGTGTCTGTTAAAATTGTACAGTTGATACCGAATATATCCAGCCTTTTTCTTCTTCGTTCAGCTGCTTTTCTTTCTGGATTTCTTTTCTTATCTTTTGTCAATCCAAGAACAAGTGTTGTATCCCCAAGATAGGTTGCTATCCCCAACTATAGAGCCTCATCTACACGGGAGATTGAACTCAGGACTTCTCGGTTTAGCAACCACGAACTTAACAAGTTCTTGATTTTGGTATTGGCGTGTCAGTTTTCTTCTTTATTTAGTCGACATCTAAAGTTAAACAAAAACAGTTGCCTACCTCAGCAAAAATCAATGTAGGCCAATTATGGCCAGTGTAGCAATTAGCAACATCAAAGTTGATTTGAATTCCATGCAACACTCATTCCATACTACTCTAGTGTGGAGTTCTTGCTTATTAATATTATCCTGTTTGTTTGATACTTTTCTTTAACTTAATAATATTAACCATAGACACTTTTTGCCTGGAGTACAAACTGGGTCACAGTATTCTCTGGTAAACAATTAAGTTCTTTTCCAAATATAGGCTCAGCTAATAGAAACAGCATTCCTAGATTATTTTATTTTTTTTTGTTTTTTTTTTAAAGGGCTTCAGCTGTTTTAATGTCAACTTGTGCTGGGAATACTATAACTACATACAACCCTTTTCAGCTTTCAATCACTTGCATCTTATGTACAAAGTAAGAAAACCAAATACATCAAATTTTGAGAAATAATTTATTTATGAAACAATTGCATATAATTATAAAGTATAAAGCCATACATTAATATATCAAGATTATTGCAATTATCACCATTTGCAGATTCTTGTTTAACTATGGTAGATGGAAGTATTAGTTGCCTTTTACATCACTTTTCACTTCCTGAAACAAAACAAAATGATTTTCTTAATCATCCATCTGAAATAATAAAATTAGCAAAAAAAAAAAATCTTTAGTTTAAATTAGTTTAATACATCAAAACAAAACAAGAAAAAAGTAATTGAATGAGATGAATCATGGCATAGATATCTATAAAATTTTGCTTTAGTGATAAAGGGGGAAAAATTTAAGTTATTTTAAGTGAAACATAAGCTAGAGAAATAAACTATTAGGCCTAATTTAAATAATTTAATTCCTTTCTCCCAAAACACTACATGTATCCTTAAAAAAAGAAAACTTAAAATTTATCAATATTTACCTTGTGTATAAACTCTTCTGTACATCTACTGTATCAGCTTGACGCTCATTAGGTATGCCTAGTTCCTGTTGAGCAGTTAAGACAGATTAAGTAAATAATTCAAATTTGTAAGACAAACCGCTAAATGATACTGTTTTATATATATATATATATATATATATATATATATATATATATATATATATATATATATATATATATATATATATATATATATATATCCTTCCTGCAAATCAGCATATTTTGCAAAACAAATATTTAAAAAAATACATAATGATATTGTATCAATCATCACCACTGACTTGGTTTTACTAGGTAAAATATTTTTTTAAATACAATATTTATACAAATAAAAATCTATCTCAATCAACATGTTCAAAATAAACCAAAGCAAACTTGTGATAACTTACCTGATTAATGTTTGAGAGGATTCACCCAGTTCTCGCCACTGAAGCAGATTAGATGCATGTGTTATTACACTTGTGATATACTGATTGCCATTTTGTGTACTTTTAGTCCTGGAGATCTATGTTGTAGGCATAGACTGTTAAACCTGGATAGTAATATTATAGAAGTAAATTATATCTAGTATAATATAAATATTTTAAAATATAAATGACACTAAATTATATTTATCATTATTGGAAATAAAAATGGTACAATTAAGTTATAAAAAAACAAATTATAAAATTTAAAGCAGCTTATTAATAATTGTCATACCTTTTCCTACTTTTATGTCAAATGTAAGAGGTAATAGAGAAAGAACATCTTGTGTCATTTAGTATGCTGTAGTCTTATTACTGGTAAAAATCAGATCTTCCCTTTTTTTTGGATGAACCTGTAAAAGAGAAATTACAACATGGATAAACACAATGAATATCATATCTAATCCTCAACTAGTTATCACCCCAATCCTAACCTCATTTTTTAAAACCAATTTCTAAATATGTTTTCAGAACAAATGTATGTTAAGTCTACCTATTTTAATGTTCAGAATACTAATATTTATCAAAACTACCTCCAGCTGAAATTCAAGATACCTTTATAAAAAGTTATTATGACTTTAACTTTGTGTAGTTGTTATTTAGGCTATTTGTTTAATTTATATTATTTAAATTAATATTTCATGCCTTGTTTTAAAAAGATCTACAAGTCTACTTTTGATTTTATGGTATAATCTGATAAAAATTAGGCTGCTACATCTGAAAACTAAGGTCAATGCAAAGACTTCCAAATTAACGATAAGTAGGCTTGTATAGATATTGTATATAATTACTAGCCCAATAGTATTACTCTACGACCAATGTATAGGACTTAATGTATCAGACCTAATTCCTATAATTAGGCCTACTAATTATTAAATAATTAATAGATCTAACAGTAGGATAATTACAATTATGGGCCTTAACTGACATAGAGAGCTGAATACTTAACTAAACATTTTTAAAAATTATAGTAAGCTAAGTGAGTTGAATTATTTTATTTAGATAGGCCTAGGCTATAATATACTCTATAGCAGTCTATAGTGATAGCCGCAGAGTAGCGTATATCATAATAACTTCAAATTAAATCTATAAGCAACATTAAGCCTCTGCCTTGTTGCCTAATTAAAAACTAAAGCCTATTAAGCCTTTTCCTAATAAGCCTTTGGCCTAATTTAAATAACAGCCTATAGGCCCTATAATATATAAATAGGCTAAACTACTTGTAAGACCTAATAGACTAATGACTAAGAGAGTGCTAGGCCCCTTTCCGATATTATATAATAATTGCTTGATCGATATCATAATATCTAACACTGATTACATTAATTTACATAAGGCTATACCATCTTAACTATGACTAATACTTTTTCTACTAATAAAATAGGCTATCTCTAGTTTAAACTTAGGCCTAATAGTAATTAGTAGGCCTAATTATAATTAAGTAGGCCATTTTATGACATTTATAAAATTTTTAGTAGATGGCCGAGCCTTAAATTTAAATACTAAAATAGATTTAGCATACTATGCCTATTGTTGGTCTAATTAATAATTTATTTTTCATTTAGAATTTTAGATCTCCAAAAGATAGGCCTAGGTCCTAAATAAATTATTTTTATTTTATTGAGCCCGCCTTAATGTATAAGATGTGATCTGTTTTTTTAATAAAAATAACCCTACACAATACTAGTGATTTAACTAATATCTAGTACTACTTTAGGCCTATTTAATTATTTATTAGTAGGCTGAATAAAATCTAAAGCTATAAGGCCTACTTTATTACTATATTTGCCTATTATTCTATAATTAATTTATGTTTTCTTTCAATACATAGTAGATCCTGTGGTACCTCAACATTCTAGTGCCTCGACATACCAGATTTTTTAAATATGAGCAGTTGAACTAGTAATATTTCGCTTTGAGTTACGCGCAAAATTTGAGATACCGTATTTCACAGTTCATGTAAAAGAAATACCCCCAAAAAGATGCAAATGATTATTTATCGCAGCTATTTAATTATAATAATAAGTGTCTTACTCATATTTGCAGCATTATGAAAGGGAGAAAGAAATAAACTTCCTAAACAAGTTTTATTTTAAGCTACCAGCATATGAAAGTGACTTAAATTAAGCATGGCAAAAAAGAAGAGAAAAGCTGTCACGAAAATTAAGCTAACGTAATAATTTTATTTAGTATTTAGGCCTTACGTTTAAGTCTTAAGTGCAACAATGCTCAGTGAATTTTAGCCATTAATGGCATTAAGTTTAGGAATGATGTGTAGGTACTTGTGTAGCTTTAACTTTAGTATATTTTTAGACCTAAGCCTAATCTTGTAGATATAGATCTACAAACAATTTGAAATAGAAGAGATTTAAAATTGAGTAGATCTAGATCCTAAATGCTAAAGGACAGCTATGCCGCAGAAATAATTATCTTTCTATCTAGTCAATCTAGACTAGATCTAATGCTACTGAAAAATATCTAGATTTTCTAGATCTAGATTCTATCATTTACTTTCGACGCACTAGGCATACTTTTAACTTTTTCTCTCTAGTCAATAATGTAGATTTCTAGATCTAAATGTAAATCCTGATCTTGTAGATTTGATTTACGTAGGTTTTACATCAGTGTAAATCGTTGATCAAGTAGATCTAGTCTAGATCTGGACTAGCTCTCGTCAAAACAAAATGGCTGGAATATTAGCTTCAAAACACCTACAGTTTATGCTTTCCTAATTGTGGAGAGCATGTTTAATTATTGTTTTATTTTCAACGACAGTGTTGACTGAGAAACCACCAAAGGGTTTTATTCTCAGCGACACAGTCGGAGAGAGGCTCAACGATTCTGTCGTTGAGATGATCCGCATGGGGTGGACTACACTTCTACACGGGCTTTCATACTCACCTTAAAACTGGAGTGTAGCTAGGACTACACTTCTACACGTACTTTCATACTTACCTTAAAACTGGAGTGTAGCTAGGACTACACTTCTACACGGGCTTTCATATTCACCTTAAAACTGGAGTGTAGCTAGGACTACACTTCTACACGTGCTTTCATATTCACCTTAAAACTGGAGTGTAGCTAGGACTACATTTCTACACTAACTTTCATACTCACCTTAAAACTGGAGTGAACTGGACGAAGACCACATGGATTAGAGATACCACCAGTAAAACCAATTTAGTTCACACTATACCAGTAGACGAACATAAACGTCTAGAAACACAACATTAACCCCTTCACGTCCACTTAAAACACTGAACACGTTTTTCGGTCAGTAAAAACGTTTTAGCTTATCTTAATCCACGTCGGCTACCACATTATACATTAATATCCGAAACATTTTTTATTTTATACAATCAGCAGATAGTATCAACGGTCATATATGACAAACAATAAAATAGATATAGCCACTCGACTGAACAGCTAAATCAATTAGGAAACGCTGACGATAAAAATTGTTGCCGACTGAAGATTAACAACGAGCCTATTGAATAGGGACAACTTAAAAATAAAATTTAAATAATGTTTTTTATTAGTAGATGCAATGAAAGAGTTATTACTACTTTTTATTTCTTTTTACTTAAAAATACTAGTGACATACACTATACCAGGGGTCTCCAAACTTTTCAGTCCGAGGGCCGCATTAACTATCGAATTTCAGTTCGGGGCCAATTTCTTCCAGGCATGTCTTTGATTTTTCTGGGCAAAGTTCCTCAGCAATCAATAACAAACGTTTTTTCCGTGGACAAAAAGATCTCCGCGGGCCGGATGAGAGGACATCGCGGGCCGCATCCGGCCCGCGGGCCGTAGTTTGGAGACCCCTGCACTATACTATCAACCCGATACTCTCATCTCACGATTACTGAAAATAACAATGACATTTCTAAAAGACAATAATATTACTCTATTAGATGCAAATGGGAGTTACCTAAAATGTAAAGGCAAACAAACATTACATTGATATACGTGCTTTAGATGTATGTTATTATGTAGGTTATGTAGATGATGCTGATAACTGGGTGAACATAATGTTGTATATAAACGGAATTATGAGGATTACGAAAGGTATCAAGTGATTGAAAGGGATACGACATTCAAAAGAAAGTTATACAAGTTACGAACTGACTGGCTCAATTTACATGTTTATTTCTTTTTATTTTTAAGACCAGTTAGTCCTATGGTAAATTTCTTTGATTACTATATATGATAATCTGATGTATATTGTAAATAATAAGAGCCGTTATATCAAGTATAATATTTTAATGTTTGCATTATACCAAACTTAAGCATACAACTTTGTTATAGTTTATCGTGATGTCTACTTCAACTATTCCGTAGATTTAAATGTTACCTGAGCCTGTGACAGATACAATTAGAGTGGTTTTAACCTGGGTATGAAAGAAAATAGGAGATAAATGACAGCCATGTCTGACAGCGACCCACTGGCTTCAGTAAAATAATGAGAACTTAATGACCCTTGACACTTTGTCTCCCAACAACGTCCATACTGCACCTTAACTACAGCACCCCATAGTTACATTTACTTTTGTCCCTTTTGTAAGGGATCCAGAAATAGTCATCAGACATTAATGATAGAACCTAGTGTGAAGTTGCATTAACAGTACTTAAATAATGTTTAATAAAAGAAAATTAAGGTTTCTACTTTCTACGTGTAAATAAAATACACGTTAACTTTTCTTTTAAACTAGTACCATTTTTGTAATTAATTTATAATTGTATACGATTAATACAATAAAACAACTTTAATAACTATGGTAAATTTTTAAATACATTTTTTCGATTAGTATTTTTCATTTTTTTGGTATAGTTATTGCCCTTGCACGTGAACATTTTCTTTTAATCTACACGAGGGTTATAATAAAGTCGAGCTTGGCCAGTTCATTTAAAAAAAATAAAAATAAACTATTCATAGTATGCCTTAATGTCTAACTGTGTAGCTTCTTTGACAATTCAACGACTATGGGGATAGCGGTGATGTGTTAGTTATTACGTTTAGAGTATGACTTTAATAGTCATAGCAAGTTGTTATAATTATCATGATCACAAAATAGTTGAATGCATTTTGTAAATAATGCCTATCCATGTACATAAGTAAGCTCCTCTATTTTTTAAGACAGTATTGTGTTAGTCAGACCTAGACAATTCTACAAGCGCAAAGAGGAAGTATAATTCAGTATAAATATAATTTAGTAGCAAATAATTTAGTTTTTAAACTATTTGAAACTAAGGGAAGGTAATAACAAGTTCTGCGTGATCTTTTCATTGTCGTCTGTAAACTGTCGTCACGAGGGCGGGGGAGTGTGGGGGGAGAGTGAGGATAATCATCCTTCACGAGCCACTGATAGTGTTTTGAAGCAAAATATTTTTAGTCGCTGCATTGGTAGTGTTGAATTTTAATAAAATATGAATTACTGAAAAGTAGAACATAAAACAACTAAACACATGCGTATGCTTACGGCGCTGGTCAGCTCGTAAGTAATAAAAAAAAAACGCGTACTCGAGTGTTGGACCGACATATCATGGCAGTCAATAAAAGGCATGATCTCCTCTCTAATGTGTGATTTTACTGGATATATTAGTGTACATTAAAGTTTAAACTGTTGTCTCTGCGTGCCCTTCTAAACCAGCGTGTCTATCTAAACTGGAGGTGCACAGACTCGCGTGTCTTGTTTAGTTTATAAATGCTCGCTTTGTTGTTTTTGTACACAATTTCAGGCATACAACAATAAATAGGCAGTAAAAGGCAAATGTGTAGAACTAACTAAAGTGACACAACAAACATATACAAACAAGAAACTTGAAATCTTATGCACGCGGAGGTTCATGGGCGACGGAATTAAAGGATCAAAGGCAACGCCACACACAGCTATCAAAATGTACACAAAAAAAAACGCAATAATTGAAACATCTGCATCACTGTTGTTACATCAATTTTCTTCTTCTTTTCATATTTTTAGTGTTCTTTTTTATAATCAAAATTATTTTTATAGCATTTTCTTCTTTACAGAAATGTATGATATATTTATTTTTAGTAGAATAAAGAACCGTCTGAGAAAAAAAATATTTAAAAGTGTACTAACAGTTATAAATAATGACCTTTTTTGTTTAAATAAGTGTTTTTCATTTTTACATAGTTAACACTAGAAACAATAAAACAATGATTAAATAATAAAAATAGATAAAGTATCGGTATCCTAACCCTTTTTCTCTTTCCTTCATTGTTCGATTACTATATAGGTATTAATTTTGTAAACATAGATGCCATCATTACCCGGAGTGTTGCCTGAATAAAACACTGTTCTATACTGACACCATGGTCATTACATTCTGTTGACGTGCTACCATCAGTTGTTTGAGTTTTGGAGATTTCTCTCTCAAATGAGTTGCTGTCTCAAAGCTATGGAGCCTCATCTCGTAACTTTTAGGTTTAGCATCAATGAGCTTTATCGACCCGACATCACCGAATATATTACCTTCACCTGTCAATAAACCTTTCCAGGTAATTTTTGCTAATTTATCACTTGTTGTTTTACCTTTTCTAAGAGATCAAAAATTAAAATAAAAAAATCAATAGAAAACGTAATTTAGCGTGATTGCTTCAATCAGTAGAGAACAATGTGAATAAAAGTTCAACTGTCTACTTTCTAGTTTAAAAATAAAATGATAAAAATAATTAATAGCCAACATAATTAAATTATTAAAAATGTTCGAAAAAAACCATAATGGAAATGCTGTTTGTTGTTTATTCCTCTCTTTTAATGTATTTTTATATCTTGTAGTTTGTTTTATGAAGGGGAGGTAATAAATATGCACCCATCTCGCCTACAGTCCAATCAAACAACTCGAGTTTGATAACACAAAATTGTACTCTTCGTCCATTACTGATTGTCCAACTACATATTCATTGTCTATACCGAAGTACCTTAAATGCTATAAATTTAAAACAAATAAATACAAAAATAACAATTTATGTTTTTGCAAATTTAAGCTTTGTATTCACCGCTGTTAATTCGTTTCGCTGTAATTTTTTTTTTTTTTTTTTTTTTTTTTGATGCATCGTTCTAATGAGAATGTGATCTAATAGACATGGCACTGTGTCCACTTAATTAAAACGCACGGAAGTCATCATGTTCAAACACACACACACACACACACACGCACACACACACACACACACACACACACACACACACACACACACACACACACACACACATACACACACACACGCATACATACACACGCACACACACATATATACGCATTGGGCGAGAATGCAAAACTGGACTCTTGACTCATTAAAGTGTATCTTCAAAATAAGTTTCTTGTTCATTACCGCAAAAAATGTTGTTGTAAAATTCATAAAGAAGAAAGACAAGAGCAAATACCGTTTCTAAAAGATAATGTCAGAAAAATGCTGAAGTCGACATAAATACCCAAAACACACAAGTATACTGTTTATTTTAATATTTTTGTTCAAGCTTAATAAAACAAATATAATGTTTAGTGGTATGTTTTCCACACCAAACCTAACGATGCCGTTTATTTTATTTTAATTTGTCCCTTACGTAAGGGATCCAGAAATAGACAAAAGATATGTATATTCCCCGCGATTTTACATATGTTAACACTACTTAAATAATTATTCTTAAAATAAAGCTAATGTTTATTAATTATA